TAAAATGAGCTAAAGCCCCTCCTGCTCCTCACCTGGGGGGGTGCCTCCTCCGTGGGGGCTGGGGCTGTTTGCCCCCCCACTCCTCCTCCTCACCTCCTCCTCATGGGAGCCCTGTTTGCCGGCGTCCTTGGCCTCCTGGTCCCCTCCTGCTCCGTTCGGCATGCTGGACTCTGCGGGGAAACGGGGAGAAAGATGCTAGAGCCGGCGCGCATGCGCAGTTACGCGCTGGCGTTTTAATGTTCAGAGAATGACGCGAGGGTTTGTTTATGATTACATCACAAACAGCTGGAGGTGGGGTGGGTGGGGGGGGGTACCTGGTACTGACCTTTGTTCCGGGTTAGCTGAGGAGCTCTTGGTGTCCAACAATGGCGAACTTCAGCTCTTTGTCAACAAACAACAACAACAACAACAAAGCCGGGTGACACAGAAACCGGTTCACAGCCCGCGCATGCGCATGGCACCGCTTTACACGTCCCACGTCCCGGTTCCGACCCACAGCTGCCCGGTTCCGACCCACTGCAGATACCCCGGCTCGGTTCGGCCCCCGGAAGCTTTGGTTTTGTGGATGTCGCAGACCTCTAACGGGAAACCGCTCACCGGCAGAATCTCTTCCGGGTTGGGGCGGGGCTTAAGTGACGTCACAGTCGAGCCCCCTCCTGCAAACCAACGCCTCGTAAACATTCATTTGTAATTTTATTTTATTTCTAATTCATTTTCTTATGAATAAAAAAATGGGTGCATTTAAGTTTGAGTCGATTAACAATTAGATGAAATTGTAAATGTAAAAATCTGGGTAATTCCTAAACCAAAAGGCTCCAGGTTTGGACCCTGATCCTCATAAAACTCCTTCATTCCCTTTCGTAATATCACCAAAATGAGGAACATCCTGTGTCAGAGTGATGCTTCGTGAATTCATTCCTTCAGGATTTGATTACTCTGATTCTTTATTTTCGTTTTGACCCCCAAAAAACTCTGGTAAAGCTTCCAGCCGACCCAAAAAGGTACAGAGTTCTCATCACGTTTCTCCAGTTTCCTGGGTTTGGAGAGCAGAGCCCTCAGTTATCTATGTGGAACCAGCTGGTTAATTTAAGTATAATCTTCTTACGCTGAACTGAATTTTTATGAGAAATGTTTTTCGATGAATTTGTTTCATATCTCTTAGACCAAAGTTCGACTTTATTCTCCAGACACAGTTTTCTCCATCTCCAACCTTTCTGTTAATTTGGTCTGAGCCGTTATATGAACAAATCACTTTATTATTCTCACAGAAAAAACTTTGACAGGATTACATTTTACATTGCATCTTTATTTATTTTGTTATTTCTAATCATCGTTACATCCGACAGCCATCTTTGATGAAATCAGCTTTGTTGATTAATAAAGCAAATACATGTGCACACGTCCAAAAAGCGTCTTTCATGCTCGTATATTTATAATATTTACAACGAGTGTAGATTTACTGTCACTAATGTCACCGTGCAAACAGTGAAAGGTGGAAAAACTTAATAGAAAAAGGCAATGAGCTGCAAAAAAAAAGCCTCTTCTGATGGGGTGCTGGCAGTTTAGGGTCAAGAGTTCAAACCGAAAGCTGAATTAATTCAGTCGAATGTAAGATGAACTCTCCTGTACGGGTCGTTCTGTTATTTTAAGTCTTAAATCTGACGACTAGTAGACAGCACTGAGCTACTGGACCTACGTTTACATGAGTAAAGGCGGAAAATCCTGCACCGGCTTCCCAAAAAGAGAAAAGCTTGTAATAAAACAAGAAAAATAGAACCCGTTTCACCGTGAAACTGTGAATAAAGCTAACAAAGATGGCCGCCGGTGCCTCTGCCTACAGCTCACTGAGAGCAGAGTCCCCAAAGTACCGGTTGAAGATCTCGGGGTGCGACTGGTAGAACTGCCTCAGGCGGCGTTTCCTCTCTTTGGCCGACACCTCGGTGTCCAGGTGGATGCTGTTCAACAGGATCCACAGCTCCCGGTTGGTGGTTTCCTTCGCCGCGTCATCGTACGTCCTGTTTCCAGCCTGCTGAGTCATGCTAGAGCCTGAGGGACAGAGATGGAGAGCTCTGATAAGAGGGACGCAACACAGGCCAGATCAAAATGGAAAAACGATTAGAAATAGCATACGTTAGCTTAAAAAATAAATCTGAGGCTGATCTCTGAGTAGCATCTCCAACATTATACCCAGACTAGACTCCATGTTGCTCATCCATCTCTTTAAGTAAGTTCAAATTTGGAAAAAAGGTACTTTTCTAATCCCCATTGATCTTATTGGCAGCTACATTCTGGATATTTACTAGATATTTACTTTTCGTTAGTTTTTTTAATATTTCTTTAATTCTCTATTTTTCATTTTTTTTGTGTCTTTTTGTTTTTCTTCTGTCACTTTATTTAAAAAAAAATGTATTCTGTATTTTTCATTTAATTTGTTTCTTTTTGTTTTTCTTCCGTCACTTCATTTTTCTTTACATTTATTTTATTCTGTATTTTTCATTTCATTTGTTTCTTTTTGTTTTTCTTCTGTCACTTCATTTAAAAAAATATATATATTCTGTATTTTTCATTTTATTTGTCTCTTTTTGTTTATCTTCTGTCACTTCATTTTTTTACATTTTTTATTTTGTATTTTTAATTTTATTTGTTTCTTTTTGTTTTTCTTCTGTCACTTAATTTAAAAAAATATATATATTCTGTATTTTTCATTTTATTTGTCTCTTTTTGTTTATCTTCTGTCACTTCATTTTTTAAAATTTTATTTATTCTGTATTTTCAATTTTATTTG